GTGTGTGTGTGTGTACCTACTTAACCATATTTTGGGGACAGATTTGTACCCAAAAGTGAGCAAAACCTGACAAAATCGGCAAAAAACTCAATTTGTGGATGTCCTCATTTGTAAAACTGTTATAAAAATAAAGTAAACAAACTTTTAACATTTTTTTAAATGCAGAAAGTTTTCTGTGAGGGGTAGGGGTGGGTTTAGGTTAAAAAGTGTATAACTATCTGTATATAAAAACAATAGAAGTCTATGTAATGTCCCCATTTAGATAGCTAAGTAAACGTGTGCGTGTAAAATAGTATATCAGTCTGGCGAGTAAACCAAAAAATTTACTAGTCAATGGCGATTATATTGCCAAGGTGTGCGTAGAGGGTTGACTGGAGTCGTGTGGATTACTTATAGATTATTATATGGTGTATGGTAAATATCATAGAACCATAGACACCACTGAACCAAAGATAATTTGTCGATACCAGTGTCGCAAACTTTCTTAAATCTAAGACACACAGAATAAAGGATTGTGTATTCATATTCTTTAATTGTTAGCATCTAATTACATTATTACAACAATGTTGTAGTAATCTAATTACATTATTATAACATTATTACAACAAACAGCTGTTTGGCAGTTTCTTAACCATGTTTCTCGTTTGTGTTTGGTGACTCTTAAAGGTGCGACAGCTAGAACGGACTTTAACCATGCGAGATCTGCAGTTAGCAGAATCAGAGCAGTCCTTGCGGGAGCTGCAGTTTTGTACATACGATGGAGTTTTCATTTGGAAAATTGCAGACTTCTCTCGTCGCAGACAAGACGCAGTGGGGGGCCGGGCACCTGCCATGTTCTCACCTGGTAAGGCTAAGATCAAATTATAGGACTGTTGCAGGTTCAATACAAGGTTAAGCTTGATTGACAGCATCTCCTGCATTTAGTCGATTCTGTTTATTATTGGTATTTTAATATTTCTATGTTATTGTAAATATATATTTATTTTTATGACCAAGGGGGATTATATAAAAATAATCGATATAATAATATAATTGAATATTATTTTCAACACTGTTATCACATGCTGATGATTGAACTTAACTTGTGTCCTGAGAATGTTCTAGGGTCAATACAAAATACTTTGCATTTTGTAAATTGAAAGTACAACTTGTCGGGTTTCATTCTGAGGGCCTTGACCCTTTGTGGTACAATGCCCTGACTTGGAAATTTTTCAAGCTTATGTGAAGGTTGTTTATGTACTAGACCAGTGGTTCTCAAACCTGTCCTGGAGTACCCCAGCCCTGCACATTTTGTATGTCTCCCTCATCTATCACACCTGATTCAACTCATCAGCTCATTAGTGGAGACTGCATGACCTGAAGTGGGTGTGCCAGATATAGGGAGACATACAAAATGTGCAGTGCTGGGGGTACTTCATGGAGAGGTTTGAGAACCACTGTACTAGACTAGTCATGGTCCTTTTATGACATTTGGATCTTCCCTCTATTTCCAGAACTGCTCACTTTCACTTTTGTAGTGTCATTCAAGAGCCCTGTGGTCTCTCTAGACAATCTGACATTTACTGAAAAACGTAGACATTCTGCTTACTATCATCTGAAAAAGTTGGGGGATTTTTTTTGTTGTTGTAAGAAATACAAAATTACGACATTTATAATGTTGTGCGCAGTTTAAAATGTTGAAAAAGATGCATCAGAGTTTCCACAATAATATTAAGCAGCACAGCACTATTTCAACATTGCTAATAATATGATTTGTTACTTGAGCCTCAAATCAGCATATTAGAATAATTTCTGAAGGGTCTTGTGACACTGAAGACTGGAGAAATGGCTGCTGAAAATTCAGCTTTGCCATCAAAAATAAATTACATTTTAATATATCAAAATGCAAACAGCTATTTTAAGTTGTAGTAATATTTTACAATATTATTGTTTCAAGTAGACTTTTGAGAATATTACCCACCTCAAACTTTTCAACGTGTGTGTGTATAAACACACGCACACATGATAACTTGATATAAGTGATATAATTATACCAATTAAATCATTTCAATTATATAAATTAATTTAAATTAATCTTGGTATAATTTATATAATTATTTTTATTATATCATTATATTTTATATAATAAAATCTCAATGTTATTTGTCTTTTGTCAAAGTAAAGTTCAGTTCAATCTGTTAATTAAAACTAATTAACAATCTGAGAAGCAGTTTTAAATATTTGGGAGTCTTTGAGTTGTTGGGAATGATTTCTTCACATTCAGTGTTCAAAGCTGATTTTAGTAGCATATTAGCATTTTAGTCACCTTTAGTAATATTTTTTCCCTGAAAAAAAATGTTTGACCCTGCTTTTACCAATTTTCTTATTTTTTCTAGCGTTCTACTCCAGTAAATATGGGTATAAGATGTGTCTGAGACTCTACCTGAATGGTGATGGCACAGGCCGGGGCACTCATCTTTCTCTATTCTTTGTGGTCATGAGGGGCAAATATGATGCATTGCTGAAGTGGCCCTTTAGCCAGAAGGTAAATGATCTGATACTATTTTACTTTCTCTTTTGGGCTTTTACTTACTCTTTCCTTTTCGTCTTTTATTTAGTGATGTGATACTGACTAAAGCATCACAGTACGACTTGTGTTGTTTTGATGCAGAGTTTTATAGCAGGGATTGAATGTTGTGGCTATTCTGTTGTACTCTACAGTTTATATAAATGTATTGTATTGAATATTACATGTACAATAGACTATTATGGAGAATTAAGGTGGTGGAGGTTGTTTTAAGTAAGGCTTAGTATTCTGGGTTCCCTTTCAATCGGTCACTCTCGACGTCACGTCGGATGACCGACGAATTGGGATCTCGCTTAGAGAGACCAATCCACTTTGAGTGTAAACTAAACGAGCCAATGCACATTGGCATGCGATTATTGCATCCAGCTGTCGCTGATCACAGCGTGAGTATAAGTAGGCAGCTGGTGCACTGCATATTCAACTTTTCGCTTCGGAGCCGAGCGGTCTCATCGTTCTGCTCCTGATCTTGCACGCTGAGGTGGCTTTCGTGGATGAGTCATGCTCCCATTGCGGGAAAATGACCGTCTTGGAGTTGCGGACCAGACTTCGTTTCCTGCAAAGGGGCGGGGTGCCCGTGCCACTGCCCAGATCTAGGGTTCCCCCTGGCAGGAGCCGGGGGGGCGCTACCTCTGGCAGCGTCCGGACTGGTCTTACGGTGACGGTGAGGAATTCCCCTCCGAGGAACCAATCTCCGAGGGCTCCTCCTTCCGCCGGCACCTTGATGGCAGCGCGGGGGTATACGGAAGTCCCTCCGTTGGAGCAATCGGTTGCGATGCAATTGTGTCCAAACACCGCTGCCACCTGGCGGGGCAAGCCGTCGCTCTCCTCCCCGGCCTGTAGGTACTCGTCGGCCCTGATTGTCAGTGCTTATGCGGCCTGCGGAGAAGCTGCCTCTGCCCTACACGCCATGGCGTTGTTGCAAGTTCATCAGGCTAAGGCACTGCGCGGTCTCTGGGCCATGCGATGTCCACTATGGTGGTCCAGGAGCGCCATCTCTGGCTGTGTCTGGCTGACATGCGCGAGACGGACAAGACACGATTCTTGAACGCCCCCGTGTTCCAGACCGGCCTGTTCGGCGACGCAGTGGAGAACTTCGCCCAGCAGTTCTCCGCTGCCCAGAAGCAGACTGAGGCCATCAGGCACATCCTGCACTGGCGTGCAGCTGCTGCCTTCACCCGGCCACCGGCGGCAGTGCCTCCGCCTGCTTGTCGCCGAGGGCGGCCCCCACTCCCGCGCAGCATACGCAGCAGCCTCCAGCAAAGCAGCGCCGTGGAGCCAGTCGCTGGGTAGCCGCCCCGCCCGTCCAGGCCCCCGCCAAACTTGGGCATATCAGTACAAGGTCCTGCCCTTTGGGCTGTCCCTGTCGCCCCGTGTCTTCACGAAGGTTGTGTAGGCGGCCCTTGTTCCCGAGAGAACGGCATTCGGCACGCCTCACGCAGGAACGTGCCCAGTCAGTGTTGAACTGCTTGAATACGTTCAAGAGCAGGAGGGCGGTCCCACTGAAACGGTTTCAGAGGCTCCTGGGCCATATGGCAGCTGCAGCGGCAGTCACGCCACTGGGGCTGCTCCATATGAGTCCGCTTCAGCACTGGCTCCATGGCCGAGTCCCGTGGTGGGCGTGGAAATGCGGCACTCACCGGGTCCAAGTCACACCGGCCTGCCGTCAAACCTTCACCCCGTGGTCAGACCTGGCGTTTCTCTGGGTAGGAGTGCCCCTAGAACAGGTCTCAAGGCATGCTTTGGTTCACACGAATGCCTCAATCACCGGCTGGGGGTCCACGTTCGATGGGCTTGCAGTGTCAAGGGTTTGGACGGGCTGAAGCATCTGAGGTCGCTTCGTGCCATTCACATTCCTGGTCTGCACAACCGGGCAGCCGACGAGCTGTGCTCCCAGGGGAATGGAGACTTCATCCCCAGACGGTCCAGCTGATTTGGAGTAGTTTCGAAGCCGCTCAGGTAGACCTGTTTGCCTCTCCAGAAACTTCTCACTGCCAGTTGTTTTACTCTCTGACCGAGGGAACACTCGGCACGGACGCACTGGCACACAGCTGGCCACGGGGCCTGCGCAAGTTATAGCCTTCGTGTGGAGCCGGTATCCTCCTGTGTTCTCACCTCAAACGGGTAGAAGCACTGAGAGGCCCCGGCTTCGGGTCGGCTTGCTAAAACCGCTCCAGAGAGTCCATATTGTAGACCCTGTCGAGCTCCTCCATCCCCTCGACAGTCAGACGTGGCAGAGCGTCCATTACTCATTTGGTAGTGCCATAGCAGCAGTAGCTGGTCTTTTTGTGGTAAGCCCTGGCCTGCGCCAAAAAGCAGGGGCGCAGGAGGTTTCCACAGGACACTGGAAGGGGCAGTAGCTATGGCCCTTTGGTAGGGATCCCAATTCGTCGGTCATCCGACGTGACGTCGAGAGTGTCCGACTGAAAGGGAACGTCTCGGTTACGTATGGTAACCCTCGTTCCATGAAGGAGGGAACGGAGACGTCACGTCCCATCGCCATAGCTTCTGTACCACTGCTGAGCAGCCGGGTTACCGGCTCGGCTCCTCAGCGAAAACCTGAATATGCGCTGCATCTGCTCCCTACTTATACTCACGCTGTGATCAGCAGCAGCTGGATGCAATAATCGCATGCCAATGTGCATTGGCTCGTTTAGTTTACACTCGAAGTAGATTGGTCTCTCTAAGCGAGATCCCAATTCGTCGGTCATCCGACATGACGTCGAGAGTGACCGACTGAAAGGGAACGTCTCGGTTACGTATGGTAACCCTCGTTCCCTGAAGGAGGGAACGGAGACGTCACGTCCCGTCGCCACAGCTCCTGTACCACCGCTGAGCGGCCGGGTCACCGGCTCGGCTCCTCAGCGAAAACCTGAATATGCGCTGCATCTGCTGCCTACTTATACTCAAGCTGTGATCAGCGGCAGCTGGATGCAATAATCGCATACCAATGTGCATTGGCTCGTTTAGTTTACACTCAAAGTAGATTGGTCTCTCTAAGCGAGATCCCAATCCGTCGGTCATCCGACGTGACGTCTCCGTTCCCTCCTTCAGGGAACGAGGGTTACATACGTAACCGAGACGTTCCCTGAGATAAGGGAACGAGCGTTGCATTGAACGCTTATGGGGAAACTCCTGTTTACTCTGATACTGAAGCCTGATTTGTTCA